TTAAATTAATTTAATTAAATTTAATTACTTTTACTTAAAAAAATATTCATTTAATTTAAAAACAAAACAAATGCTATACATACAACAAATAATAACACAAAAATAAAATGAAAGGTAGCAGAACGAAGAAAAAAATTCTTATTAATATCTGCCCCTTTTTTAAAATAAATAAATAAATAAATTCAAACAACAATAATCTTCAAATAACCAAACATAACAAAAACTTAAACTCCTTCTCAAACAGCAGTTCTTATGAATGTACATTTGACAAAATGTCAAATAATGTGACAATTATTTGACAAAATAGTGTGACCACAGTAGCTATCAAATAACTTTTTATTTAACATTTTGAAGGAGCAACATAAAAAGGGAGGTGGAAACACAGCAGCACAGAGTTTGTGGTCAAGGATGAAGAAGATCACAGGCTTTGAGGTCAGGGAGCTTTGAAAGCGATGAAAGCCAGAAAAGATGATCTGAACGTGTTTTTCAACAGGTCTATCTGCAGAGAACGCTCAGCATTTTCCTCTCCGTCCCACAGCCACGCACTTTTACCTCCCTGTTACAAACCTTAATATAACCCTGTCATCATTAGGAAACACTGGGACCCTCACCCCTTCATATACGTTCTGCACATTCCAGAGTTCCTGTCTGTTCTGCATCCAGACATCAATTGCTTGTAAATAACAGTTTGTGACTGTGTTGACAACTTGGTTTCCTGAACATTTTCATAAAAATCCAGCTTTTCTCTGTTAAAAACATCCTCTCACMGTAAGATCTTATTAAGGATACAAAAGGACTGCGCTCTTCTGGACAGAGATCTCACTGGGGKTCACAGCCTCGAGTGCATCTGTCAACACTCAGCATGCTGAAGAACTTTAGGCATTAGGATCTCTACGGCTGTGTCCAAATTCAGGGGCTGCTTTCTTTGAAGGTTGAATTTGAAGATTGATTACGTCAGAGATGCACCGAAGGCTGGTCAAATTCGACCCGCAAATGCGCCCTCCTTTTCCCCCAATTTGAGGGATGGATCTGATGTATCCTTCTCAGCCCACTCTATCCAAAGATGCATTTCAGGCTGACCAGGAGATTTTTGTTTGCTTGTAATGGTGRACGAAGCGAGAGACAGGAGTACAGTTTTACATTAATATCTGGAGGTACAAAAATCTAAAGTTTAAAGCGGTTGTGTTGTTAAGCTTTTGTCATTTGCATAGACATGTTTTTTATTCTTTTTCTTGTCATAAATCGTTTTAAACAAGCTCATTTTGCGGGTCCTTTAGTTCTTCATGTATTGCATCTAAGCTAATTTTGTGAATTAATAATATTAATATGTTAGTATTTTGCTCATTTCAATCTTCATTGCTTCTGTTTAGCGTTGTCACAGTTGCTAGATGACAGATGGCTGTGGTAAGGGCGGGAGTAAAGCTGAAGACTAGGCTGTCCAAATTCAGAAAATATTTCTTCCAGTTCTCCTGGTCAACAAAGGACCTGTCCCTCATTGACAGGTAGGCTGGGTCCTTCGAAGGASGCAGCCTACATCTGCATTCTGTAGTTTCTCTGGTTAGTTAGCCATCACCTATCTGTCATTCTGAATCTGGACTCAGTGGATCATAGCCCTGTCTTGAAAGTGTGTATTCTCTTTTCCCTTTAAGACACACATGCTCCTCTTTGCACGGTGCTTTAGTGTTCTTGTTGTTCATGATGAGTACCTCCATGATGTATTTCATTCCAGCAATTTCAACTCATTAGTTGACCATTTGTCTGAACCTGCTCTGTTCTGTTCAGGATCTGTCACAGAGTCAAAACAGAGACATAAAAACAACCAACCAGGCTYGCTCTTGCCTGCAGACCATTTAGAACCACCAGTTTAACTACCATGCATGTTTTTGGACTGTGGGAGGAAACTGGAGTACCCGAAGGAAACTCACACGTGCACGAGGAGAAAATGCAAACTCCACACAGCTCCTGTTTAAACCAAGGAGCGTGCTATGAGAGGAGCTGACCACAAACCACTCTGCAGTGCTAAATCTTTGAAAATGGGTCAGTTTGTTGTGTTATTGGGCAAGACAATAAATCTAATATTGCCTCATTGTTTCAGGTGTTTTAAACTTTTCTTCTGTTTGCGCACTTTGCATTATATACATTGAAACAAAATAGACAACTAGAATTATTATTTGTGAAAACAGTCTTTTTAAACACAAACTGACCATCAGAAGAGATCTATGGAAGAACAGAACCAGCAGCTGAAGCAGATCATATTTGATGTAGTTGTCGGTTTTCTCCAAGCCGAAGATGCGTGGTGGGAAGTAAGGCTTGTCTTTATTCAGGGTCATCTCATACACACTGTTCCAGGGGAAAAATCCAAACTGGAAGATGTATTTCAGAACCACCATCACCTGGAGAGAGGTAAAACAGCATGTCATTCCTATCAGTAACTACGTAAGGTTACTCTGACCTGAAAATTTAATTATAGCATAAATCAATACGTCTTTTATCCTGATAAGCTAAGAAATGCACCTTAGTGAAAATAACTGTTCTCACTCCATTTGCAGGTATGATTATGTCTGCTTGTATGATGCACACAAGTGTGTTGATTTTTTTATGAGCACTAGTTGGTTTTTCTTGTATAGTTTTACACATTTAATTAAAAGCTCCATCGGTCCAAATAAAATGCTTGAGAACTGCTTTGATGAAAGCATTTCTTTTTTCCTGAGCCAGACATTTCCATCTGTTTCTAACAGCTGGTTTTAAGGTCTGGAGTAAAGTTGAGTGGCTCCCTCCACCCCTCTGTTCTCAGGAATATGCTTCTTTTGATAAATTTAAACTAAAGGATCAGAGGAGTTTAGTTCATAGATTTGTAGCTTTTCTTCATTACGTAAATAGAGGTGTTTTGGGTGTTTGTTTAGGATGTGATCTGTACATATTCTTAGGGAAGTGTTCAAAATGTGTCCCACAAGGGRGGAGACCTACGGTCAGACCCAGGACTCAACCCTCCGTGTGCATCAGATTTAAAATATGCCATCTATCCTTTATCTTCCGCTTGTTCCAGAATCGGGTTGTGGGGGCAGCAGCTGGAACAGGGAGGACATTTTTTTCCCCACACCCACCTCTTCCAGCTCCTCTAAGGGAGAGTCTTCTGAGTCCAACTGGATGAGCTGGAGGAGGTAGCTGTGGCTCATTAAGGGGAAAGGGAACATTTTTAAACTTTCCAGGGCCTCGAAATCATTTTTTCAAATTCACAAACTTTCAAAGATTTCAAGGACCCGTGGGAACTGTGTATAATACAACTGGGGCATTTGATTTATTTTTATTCTGTGTCAGTTTTTTGTTTATGAAACAAAAAAACTATTCCTGCAAAATCAGTCTTTCTGACTTGTAGTGGTGTAGAGCTAAATCCATAGAGTTCATCGTTCTTACCTCTGTGTAGACTATAACAGTCATCCAAAACCTCTTCGTTGGTCTTGGAATGGACAACATAGCCCAGAGGAAGACGAGCATGGGCAGGACCAGCGATATGACCGAGGCGCTGACCACGTTGTTCAACACGATGATGAAGTAACAGACGAGCTCTGAGTTGGCTGACAGCACGGTGTACATGGAGAGCAGCAGCTTCAGCAGACGGTTCTGGTTGTTGAAGAACTCTCTGCTTTGCTCCAGCTCCTCGATGAAAAAATGCCTGATGAGTGAAAAGAAACAAAGTTATACATCTGGTATATTGGTTGTTATTGCATCCCTCACCTCATTAACTGATAAAACCAAAGATCAGAACTAAAAATAATAATGATAATAACTGTAATAAACTATTGCTGTGACTCAGTGTTGGCCTTAGCGTCTTACCTGTCTGACAGGATCTCACTGGCTGTTCTGGAGTGTCTGTGTGGTTTGATTGGATGTAACCCAGTACTGCTCGACTGGGATTCTACAGTCAGGAGATTGGCACTGCTGTTTTGTCTGGGACTTGAAAGGTCCGTCACACCTCTACTTTGTGTGGAGCTGGGACACACATATACAGTAGAACTCAAATACAAAAATTAGATTAGGACTTTGTTAAACATAGCTCTCAATACAAAAGTTGAAGTCTACATCAAACTGTAACATTCACTGTAACCAAAGACACTTTGGTATACTGCCGGAACTGTGGATCAAACCCCCAATCCTGACTGAAAGAAAATCTCCCTGCCATGGGACTAAAGTCCATTTGTGTTTTCTAAATGGAGTCTATCATCAATCCTTCACAACAGCTTTGAACAGAAAAATATTGGCAAATGCAAAGGCTAGTCACCCACCACTAGAGAACATCACAATCAAATGAAAGGAGAAGAAAGAGGGACATCTATGCAATCAGGTCAAGAGATGCATGGACACTGAGAGCAGTGAGGAGACAACTTGAGGCTAGAAATACAAATACAAAGGTCAACCACGCTCTCAAAATTCATGGCCACCTTCTCATCATTGACCCTTCAGATAAATGAGAGGACATCAAGATTGTCAGCGAGATCCTGAAGGCTAAAGCAGACATGTTTCTAACTGATGCCCTTGACACGTTTCGTGACTACTTTGAGGTTTCCAATATCTTCTCAATGTCTAGGTTTGCACTTTCAATGTCATCAAAATGTGTGGAGAGGGTCTCTGTAGCGGGTTAAAACCCACAAAGCAACGGGTTCAGACAACATCCTAAAACAAGTCCTTAGAGACTGTACTGAAAACATGTGGGTACTGACTGAGTCTGTTACCAAAAACACTCATCTTTGACATGAAAGATTACAGCTTGATTAGGGATGCACGATATATTGGCATTAACACCAGTATCGTCCAATGTTGGTCATTTTTAGCATATCAATATCGGTCCGATAAGCAAAACTGGGCTGATATTAATGTCTGATATTGATTCCTGCTTGTTGCCATTTGTGTTTTTGTTTTGGGAGGGGAGATGGTAGGTCGAACAGTATATATTTGATCAAAATAGTGTTAGTGACCCTGCACAGCCAGGAATAACTGAGCCATGTAGAGAGTAGAGAKCCATGTCAGCGGTCTGATAGTTTTTTACGGTATCGAAAAAAGACACGTGTGTTTTATAAACAATTTGTGTTTGTGAAATATTAACAAATATTGGGCAAAACATCAATATTAATATTGGATATTGGATATGGATGCATTCCTAAGCTTGATGGATCTCGTGCAATGCTTCAAACTGGTCTTTAAAAAGACACAGTTGTCATCTGCGTAGAATGTTACTTTTATGCCAACCAAAGGAACATGTTTATATCCGACTCAGCTTTATTTTCCTTTCTGCTCTCCCAAGTCCTGTAGCAGGGATGTTTCTKTCTGACTGCTCTTCCTGGACTTAATTTTTGTTATAAGCCTAAATACCAAAATTGAAAAATCCCGCATATTCTAATCAACAAACTGGTGGTGTTTGAATGACAACGATCACTTCATAACCATGTAACACTTTCTGTTTTTTCACCACAAAAAGACCTTCCTCTTCTTTGATTTCTTCATTATGAATATAGATTAGTTTTATTTAATCTCTTTGAAATAAAGCCACTTTCCAGACCAACCTGTTTCTGATGGAGCTTTCTGCATCTGTTTCATCCAAGAACGTATCAAGTGTGGATATTTCACTGGTCTGAGAGGCCTGATCGTCTCTGGCGCCGGCTGCTACATTACACTGCCATGAGCACAGAGACACAAACACAAGGTTTTATACAGAGGATGCTGAATAAAATATCTGTGTTTAATAGTATGTCATTCAGTCTTACAGATCTGTGCCTGAGTTTGTGTTTACCTGCTCTATTTTGTGTATGCTGAAGTAGCGCTCGTTGCACAGAACTGTGGAAGTATCACTGTACTGTTTCGTGAGCAGATTAAGCCACCGAGTCAATCCGTCCACCATGGCCAAAATGATGGCCCACAAGAAGCACAGAATATCCAGGATCTTCTGAACCATCTCACCGTGAACTTTAGGACACAATACGTTCAGAAGAAGAATAAAAGGCAATGAATCAGTGGGCACTGCAGACTTACAACAAGCACATTTTGTGATCTTGTTTATAGTGAAAAAATGCTCCTACCAGACTCTTGTTCCTCATTATCCTCTTCCTCCTCCTCCAAAATATCATCCTCACATCCTACACATGTGGTGAATAGAAGTTTTATAAATAAAAGTATTACCAATAGTTCAGTTCAGAACAGTCCAACTCAGTTCAATTATAATTTACTTCAATTTAATACAGTCAGATTAAAATTTAAACTGACCATTTATGGTTCAGTTCCTTTGTAAGACTCTGGGTTCTTAATGCTTTGTCACTGAGTGTAACTGATACATATTAGCAACTTTTGTCTAAAAGATAAATTATAGCAAAAACCAAAAGCAAGAGTGTTACCTCTCAGAGAAGAAGCTTCCTGTCTTGATTCCATTTTTTCTTGACCCTCCTTTTTCCTGAGCTTCTTCAGGTATCTCTGGTGTCTCTGGCGTTCCCTCAAAGCTGTTTTCACACTGGTCACCCATGCCTGGTACGCTAACTGAGATAAACCTTTCCGTGTAACAGCTGCAGATGTCTGACGGTGTATAAACTGAATTCATTGAACAGACTGTAAATTAGTCGCGTTTCTGACCTGAGAGGCAGTTTGCTCCTTAAGTTTCTTGTCTTCAGAAGTCAGGTCCTCTTCATCCTCACTGTCAGATTCAAACAGGTAGTACTCTCCTGAGTGGATGACTGCAAATTAAAGCAACCAATGTCTTCACAAAGTACACACATTTACTAGAACCTCATTCATGTGAAGCCCCTGGATCTGGCTTGTTCTGGTAATAATTACATTCATACCTGTAGCATGATCAACCCACGGCTGGTACCAGTTCTTCTTGGACTTAGTCTTCTCTGTTGGAGTTCCTAGAGCAGAACAAATTTTTGATTCAGGGGATTTATAGTTTAGGTCAAGCTGGCATGATAGTATGAGTTAATAATAAAAGCTGAAAGTGTTTCACATGACTGGTAAAAAAAAAAGATTTTATGTCTGATGTTGTGTTTCCTGTAAAACAGGCAGCAGATTAGTCCTGTTAGTACCAGAATCTGGACTTTCAGTGGAACTTTCCCGTGTTTTCTTTCCTTCTTTGTACTTCTGCTGCTTGGAGCGAATTCTCTGCATCCTGAGAACGAAAACAAATTCCTTCTTTAAATCTCTTTTCCATCTCTGGTTTTTTTTCCACTAATAACATCAAGCATTTAAATCAKGGTCTCTGCTGATCCAACCTGTTCATTCGAACAACTCGTTTCTCAAGCTCCTGAAAGAAAAACTTACGATTTTTTCAGACTTGACAGGGACTTCTTCTCAGTCTGCTGGTGGGCCCTCAGGTTCTTCATTATGCTGGCTCTAAAAAGCTCAAACCCCCTGAAAGACACAAGCAGCTGTCTGAAAATCACAAAACAGGCTGTAGCTCAGAGAATTTTACAAATATTGAACTAAATTTTGGTGTGATAGTAGCTGAGTCATTTATATCATGTACAATGTTTCTTATCTGAAACAAAGCATCACTAAATCTATCATTTCACAACACAACAATTTTAGTGTAAAGCTCATTAGTACAGCATTATCGGCTTGATCTGTTTTATTCTGAGTGTTTTATGTGCTGCAGAACAGGAACCTGCTGTAAAACAGCAATTATGCTGAGTCAGGCTTGATTTTTTATAATCTTTTCCTGTTAAATAAATAAATCAAATCAAATCAATTAATCCATCACTGCAGTAACTAACACTGTTCAACAGGTCTCGATCAGTGCAGGAAAACAAAATCCGGAATCAGTTGACAGGTGGAGCGCTGAGCTGAATTTCCTGGTTGTGGTTTGTTTCCACACCAGCTTCATAATGTTCAAGTGGAGAAAGAGGTGTTGTTTGTTGCAAACTCACTCTGGATGTCCTGTGCTTCTGCCACAGAGGAACTACAGAAACCATAAAGACTCAAACATGACTATTTAGAAACTTTTATCATTTAACCTTTAGAAGCTAAAAACAGCATTCATTTCTGAGTTTTCCAGGAACTGATAATATSATGCTTGTATTAGTTTTGAAATAGCTTAAAGTTCTGTCAAAACAAATCAGGGATTTCTCATTTTTCTGAAACTGACTCRTTAAAATGAAAAATTGCAGGAAGCAACAAAAGATCTGTTCCAGTTTCTTTGAGTAACTGAGTTTTACCTTGATGCCTGTTTAGCAAAAGCCTGCAGCTCTGCCGTCACGTGCAGGAAATAAAAACTGAGGAAGACCCTCCTCTGCAGCAGCAGACAGAGGAAACACAAACTGTCCCACAGAATCCCTGCTTCCTCCACTGGAAGGCTGCAGGGTTCAGAACTCACAGCGTTAGCTGACAGGAAAAACACAGGAAAGTATTTATTTAGTCAGACTGACTGTGAATAAACAACTAAATAAATATTACTTTCAAAACCAAGATATAATTTTATAAAGTTTATATAATTTAAGTAATCTAAAACAGAAAACTTGTTTGTAAAAATGCAAGAAATTCAGATTTAAATTACTAATCAAACATTATGAATACAAACCATTAAACATGATGAATTACATTTTATTTTATATGTCATGAAGTACAGCTGGTAGTTAATAAAGAAATAATACTTCCAAATAATTTAAATTCTTTAGGTACTTACGATCATAATATCCTTTAACTGTGCAAACCAAGCTAAAGAGTTGAATTACCCAACAGAATCCCTTCTGCATTTCAAACACAAAAACACAGGCCAGGATCTGCAACACACACAAACACACATGTACGCACAAAGTTTAGAGTCCTACAAAGTCTTTTCTCTTTAATTTAAACTTCCGAGCAAAATCAATTTTTAAAGTTTTGTAAATGGAGCATTCAAACGATTTTATTGAGGTTGCATAACAATGATGACAGAGTTCCTTATAGTCTCTGGTAAAACTAACATCTTCATCACTCCACCAAAGTTCATTATGTTAGAACTTACAGAATCTCTAGAACTTTTTCACTTTTTTTATATCGTTGCAGCCCGATGCGGCAGTCTTTTTAATAATATTTTAATAATCTTCACTCTGTAACCCATAATGATAAAAATAAAACAGAATTTTAAACAGTTTTGTAAAAATATTTTTAGAAAGAACTGAAATACTGCATTTTCATAAGTACTCAGACTCTTTGTGTTGTTGAAGGACCTTTAGCAGMAAACACAGCCTCAAGTCTTTTTTGGGTCCTCAAGAATTTAATTTCATAAACTTTGAACTTTATAAAGACCAAAAAGCGTAAGCTTCGTACTCACAGACAGCACGTTTTTAGAAATGATAACTGCCACGGTGTAGATGATGAGACAGTCCCACAGGATGAGGCGAGTCCTCGATGGTTTCACTAACAGTTTGGTTCCTAGGAGCAGGAAGAAGAAGGAAGCGAGCAGGTAGCCCAGTCCAAACACAGAGATCCTGGTGGCCCCTGTGATGAAGACCACCGAGAGCACAAACCAGAAGAAGTAACGAAACACCAGAACTTTTGCCATGTCCAGGTAACTCCTACAAGACCAGAGAGGAAGAAAAATGAGCTAAATTATATTTAAAGTGCAAAACTTCTGAGAATGGACAAGAACAAAATGAAGATTATTAGTAGTTAATGTAGGTTTGACACTAGAAAAAGGGATTTCAGATTCACCTGCAGTTGATGAAATTCGGCGCCGGGTTGAAGAGTCGACCTTCCATCGGATCAGGCTCGTCCGTGTTCTCCCCTGCGAGGACCATCCACTCCTCGACCCGTTCACACTCAAACACCTTCCACTGCTGGGACGCACACATCAGCAGCACAAAGTCCGCTGTGGACCACAACAACAGAGCCTCAGCAGCAGCTGAAAACACTGAACTCTGCCCTGAAAGTTTCAACTTTTATTGGATGAAATCATGAAGGTCAAATACTGTATGTTCAAAAAAAAAAAACTGGAAAAGCTGGAAAAATGTTGTGTGAGCGCTGAGTGCTGAAAAAATGACTGCTGAAATTTACTGAAGAAGTCAAAACGGAAAAAAAAAAAAAACTAGCATAAAAGTGCAAAACACCAGCTAAAAGCTAAAGAATGAACACTAGCTACAAACTGGAAGTAGCAGAATGGTAGCTAAAAGTTAGAAAGGAAAAAGGTTGTTTAAATAAAAGTTCTAAAAGAATTGAAGGGATAGTGTTTTACTATAGTTAAACTACTTATAAATAACGTTAAATATTAATATAATTCACGGCATCAATCTCCTGAACGAGCAAAGACACCTTAATGTATAAATGGCAAAAAAGCACAAATTTTCTATTGAAAGACTGCAAAAAAAACATACAAAAAAGAAAAAAGGGTGAATACTACAAAAAGTGCTGCAAGTCTTTGATTTTCAAGTAAAGTATAAATGAATCAACAGAGCCGTTATGAATCTGAAGTTGCCATCTTGTAATTCATCAGCTTAGAACAAATCTGTCTCACCGACAAGTAAGTGTCTCAAATATCAGCAAAACCAAAATAAGTATAAATCATTCAGAATAACTTAAAACATGAGCAGAGGGAAATGCTTCCTAAATGTATAGGAAGTGATAAAAATTCAGAAACAGATTAAATATCAAATGTTCAGATGTACAAACAGGAACATCTCTGCAGAAACTGACCTATGAGGTTTTTGGAGTTTGGCACAGTGTAGAAGTCAGGCAGATAGATCCATTTGATGAGAGCTGAGTTCATCAGAACCTGAGTGTTCCACCTCCACGGGTAATCTGCAGAAATCAGATACACAGGACAACAAAGAGGAGTTTCATCATTTCATGGAAGGTGAACATATTTATCTGTTTCTTTCTGTATTGTTAGCAGCACATTTCTTGAACCAAGGGACAGGATTAAATGAAAATAAAATAATCACTGGATGTATACATCTATCTGCAACTGTGAGTCAGCTCAATGGTTGCCACAGTTAATTTATATTAGCTGACACAAAAATGACTATAMATCTCAGGTTTGAAAATATTGGGCTAAAATTTGATGTGGTGGTAGCTAAAAGYCGTTCACAACACATACCATGATGGTCAATAGATAAAGCAAACTCTGGAGTGTGAGGGTTTAAGGCCCWGTCACACTAGACAACTTGTGAACATTTTAAAGATATCTATGTTGAAGCTGGAATTGAAAAAAATCTACAGGAAGCTTCTTGTTGGCGTGTACATAATGTAATTCTAACAAACTGTTCAAATATGCAACTTTTATAAGCAATTTAGACATAAAAATGTTTCATAAGTTGGCATAAGATGCCTAGTGTGACAGGGCTTTTCGTGTGAATAAGCACAGGCTGCAGTGCAAAAAATATGGRAACATTGATTTTTACTTTCTTCGTGATTTGCAGAAAAATTTGTCCATTAATATGTTTTCATGTCTTCAGAAAAAAATCTTTTTAATTCTAAAAAATGCCCACTTTTCTCCACAGGCTGCTGTAGAGCTGGGAACTCACTTTGTACAAGCTTGATCATTTCCTTTTTTAAATGTTTGCTGGAACTCCCAATGACATCACGACACTCTCATAAACAAAACAAGCCTTTTACTAAGCATCTGATAAATTGCTAAATTTAATCAAACTAAATATCTTTTGGAAGTTCTTAAGATGAAGCATTGAAAAAAAGAAAAGAAAAAAAATCCTCTTTGTGACTTATTTAGTTAGGTCTGGTCACATATGACTGTATGAGGCGTACACAGGATAACTCCGCTGTATAGAGTAAAAACAAACCTCATCTTTCCATGACAATTAGATGAGTTACGTAAATAAAGGAGTACTCACCAATGCAGAGAGCAGGAGGTATGCCCACACACAGCAGGTACTGGTAGATCATGAAGATAGACAGGAAAATACAGTATTTGGGCCAGATCTTAGCGATAGCTGCACGCCGGCGCCTCACCAAGATGGCCACCAACCAGCAGCCGTGGATAATCACTAGAAAGTTCATTCGCTGACCGATCACGTTCACCGTCATCAGAAAACAGATCTTTAAAAAATAAACAAGAAGGAGTGAGGGGGGTTAAAAACTAGAAGCTTAAAAAGTTAAAACTGATTTGAAATGTGTGGCTAAAATAAAAGAGATCATTCTTCTTTTAAAGTTAATTATTACATTTGTGGCATTTTCAAGTTAAAAAAAGGGAATAAATCCAAGGGATCACCCACCTCTAGTCCAAACTTGTAAAAGGTGTAATTGAGCAGGTACTTGAAGCAGGGAATGAGGCCATCATCTAACGTGTCTCTAGTCGCAGTGGGGAAGAGCGCTGGCACACGTGGGGGGGATCGCTGGATCTGACTGTAGTGGTGAGCCTGGTGACGGTACACTGTTGCCTCAAACACCAGCAGTAACAGCACTATCAAATGGTTCTGCAACAAAACACACAAGATACAATTCAAATTGATGTGAGCTCATCTTTATCTGTATAACTCTCTTTGTGTAGTCGATGGAGAGTTACGTTCAACTTGAAGGAAAACCACCAAAAATTTAAGTTAAATTATTTTATTACATTTCTAAACAAACTCTTAATATTGTTTTTGAAAGACTGGATTTAAATAATGTAAAACCTTACATCTGTTTGTATTTTTACATATACAACTGACTATTATCTTTATTTTACTTTTACCTTGCTATATCCCAGCGCTGTGGCATCTTTCCTGATCCCAAACCATTTGGCTGGATCCACTGGTTCTTTATACAGAGTGGAGTCCATAACTTCTTCTGGTAACATGCTGGTTTCATTTGTTAGAGGCTGTGAAGATAAAAGGTAGAAGCAAAAAAACATTTAAAATGCTAGTTTTATTCCTGCAGAAATTTCTGTAATTTTTAGGAGAGGGCCATCAGGGTCTGGAATATATTCTGGAAAGGACTATGAGGAAGAGCTACATGTTTAGGGTCTCTCATTTCAGAAAGACAACAATGATTGAATCAGTGGCTAAACAAGCTTTAAAACAAGACTAAAGTTTCAAAGGACAGATGATTTGTTGCGTCACCTTCACTTCTGCACATTTAACAGAAGACAGCAACTACATGCAGAGCCTTATGGTGCCTCTTACCAAGCTGCAGTTGCGGGAGTACTCATCAGGGTTCACAACGCTGAGCTGGTAAAGCATTTTGCAGACGATGATGACGCACACCCAGACTGTCGACAGGCAAGACGCCATGGGCCTGAAGCGACAAAAGGGCATCGCCAGAGACCACAACACCACCAGAACCAGATTCATCACAGACGGCTACAGAAAAACAAGAAAAGAGGATGTTTACACTGTTATGCAAAACCAGCCCCATTTATGTAGTTAATATCTTACCTGTTGTAGATCACTCCTTGAACAAAGTCAATTTGGAGAAACAGTTTATTTCATACAGCGTTGAGAAGATAAAAGCAATTAAGGCAAGGAACAAAGCAGAATGCCTCGATATGAAAACAGCTCTTATCTCTAAAACACTTTTGGTAGTTGATGTGGTTTATTTTGTAAACCTTCACATCACTGTTCATTTCACATTACATCATTATTTACACTGAAATCAGTGATCCTTTAGGGGCACAAAAAGCATCAAAAGTGTTAGCTGTGGCACTTTCTGTGCCGCCTGTAATATTTTTAATTTCTGCAGATGTAACGATTTAAATAATATTTACAAAAAACAGTGAAATACATAAGAAATTGAAGCAATCCACTTTGATCTTTGCCGCTTTTGTACTCAGCGTTAACTTCAGTCCTGTTAAAATAAACTATTTCTCCAAACTGAAGCCATTCAAAAACTACCTATAACAGGTAAGATATTAATGCTTTATTTGTTTCCACAAAACCCCGCTTAAAAACAAGTGGAATATTCCTTCAGAGATGACCGGGTATAACTTCTTAATTATAACTCACAGGTTATCACAGGCAGGTGCATTCTTAAAGCTTTACTACAATCTATTCAGAGGTTCATGTGATATTTTGCTAACAGTAAGACAGGGTTGACTCCCAACAGTTACTAGAAAAGTTTTATCTACTTAAAAAAAGTGTATTTAAAATGTGTTTATTTCCAAAAGTAATTAGTGACATCAGTTAGTTGTAGCACTTTCGGTGAAGCGAGGGGTCAAATCTGGCAGGAATCTTATAAAAACACTGGGTGCAACACATAAAACAGACCAGCATCTACAGGATATTTGAGTGAGGGGTATGTGCCCACAAAGTTCTTTATTTTGTACCAAGTTTATTAAAAGGTATGTGCCCAGTACTACAGGGTAAGTGCCTGGTACATGCATGGTACATACCTACTACATACCCGGGACCTATGGGATACATGGTCACAGTAAGTACAGAATACCCCTTTAAAATACTGTTTGTCACATCTGCACAATCATTAGGGATGTTTGTGACTTCAAATATKACTCAGATCTGCATTTTTAAAGTAAATAAAGTGACACAGTGTACAGCACTTTCAAACCACAATTTCTCTGTTATTGTAGTTTTATCATTCCTCCAGTTTTGCTTTGTTTTTTTCAGTCTCACTTACTGAATCTTTCTAATTAAATTACAGTTAAGAACCACAGCTCAAAAACGACTTGGAGTGTGTGTCTACACTGCCTTGTCAAGAGYTTGAATTAGATTATCAGACTAAAATGTTTTTGTTTCCCACACTTCCACCACATTACAGTAGTCCATTTRAGTGGTTGTCTGGGAGAAATGTAAAGAAGCTACTTCTAAAAGTTACAGAATATTGGAACCAAGTTGTTATTCCAGTACAAAACAATTAATGACAGGGTCAGTGTTTGTTGAAAGACAGTCTCCAAGTATCATATTTCATATACTTTATCCACATTTTTATCTCATTCCAGTCCTTTCACACATGCAACTCTCAGTCTGGCTTTACCTCTGCGAGTGCCACCCACACGGTGAAAAAGGCCACAATCTTGAGGATGTGAAGCTCCAAAATCCTCCAGAGAAACCCTTGAATTTTGGTGAGGATGTCGGAGAACTTCCTGGACAACACCAGTAACCTGTCCATCACTAGGCCCCATTTACTGGGTGTCAACTCCACTGGATCAGGAATAAATGAATGAATTATTAGAAACAATATTCAGCATCAAATATCCTCACAAACAAAATTCAATTTATCAGTCGATTTTTATTTTTATGGATATCTTTGTTCAAATTTAAACTACTTAGTTTGGACTGAAACGCACCTGGTTACACATAAAAGTTTAAATTACCAGCATCAATTTGTTTTTAAACGTTTTACCTTCATCTTCAGATTTGTCATCAGTGTTTGTTAACATGTCTTCTTCTTCTTCAGCGTTCAGCCTCTCGTTATCAGAGCCAGCTCTTTCAGCTCTTTCTTTATTCTTCCTTCTGGAGACAAAAAAATAAAACGTTAGTTCCTGTAAATAGTTGGATAATTAAAAACTTCAGGGAATTTAAGGCTGTAATATGTCACGTGTTTCATCATAAATAAGGAAAACGCTAATGTGTATCTTTTTTTTTTACATTTCAAGTCTATTTATTGCACTAGAATTATTTGCCCTTCGCTCTGGCAGCTCCATGTTCAACATCTTTTATCCAATATATCTACCATCTCTCCTCTGCTGATGTTGAAACCAAACACTGTATATATCTGGACCTCCGACAGAAAACCCCAAACTTTAAAGGCAGACCAGGACCAACTTTCCAGGTCAGCTGGTACCAGATCTAGTTGTTCTACATTCCATGAGAGGTTCTAAAGAGATGTCTCGCTGATGTGGTTGTGTGACAAAATTTTTTTCTTCTGACACCACCTCCATACAAGTCTTGTGYGATTGATCAGAACTTTGTGCGGAAAAGAGGCTGAGAGCACGGCTCTGATTTCAGCTCCACTGAGGATCTGCTGGCCGAGGCTGTTAGAAAATACAGCCATCTTTCCGACCTTTCCAGGAAAACGTATAAAGATGGTGAAAGAAATCGTGAAAAGGAGACTGGACAAATTTTTGTTCACGAGGAAACAGCGTGGAGACACAGGCAGCTGCCTGGGGTTGTGCTGTCTGAAAGAGAAAGCGCCTCCACTGAGAAGAGTAGGAGCTTGTTCCCGCATCGGAAACAGTGGAGAACTCTTCATGACAAATTTTCAAAATACTGTTTCTACAATAACAGAAATAACGCCCCTTCCTCCTCCAAGTGAATATAGACAACCATTCTGCCAACTGGCTGAGGCTGTGTGATGTGTGCTGCAGTGAGTGGACTAATACCAGGACTTCTCACACAGTTTCTCTCAAGATCCGTTGTCTTACGACATGTGAGGTATAACTAGGGCCTGATGTTCATGTGACYTACAGGGTTCATGTAGGTTTCAGTAAGTTAAATTTAAGACCTTTTAAAGACCTTTTAAGACCAAACCGACGCATTAACAGAGACAGTCAAATGGCCCCAGAAATTTTAACATAGAAACCTTTTATTGCAATCAGTTTAGCTATTAAAGAATATTTAATTTTAATACAAGAACACTAAATTATTTTAATAAAACAGTCATATCTATGAGACCTTCATATCGACAGCTGTGGACCGCTTCCAACCGAGTACAAAAATCACTGATATCCAGTCAAGTCTCATTGAAAACACACGTTTAAATGACAAGCAGTGGACATGAATGAACTTCTGTTTTTGTTGGTGGGTGTACAAGACACCGTATGTGGGGGCTTGTAGTGGCAAAGAGGTCAAAAACATGGAAGTAAACGTTGCCACTTTTTGCCTGCAGTTATCACAGGATTTGTAGATTAACCACGTACCAAAACTGGTAGCAAACCTGGCACTTCATGAAGACAGATGGAGTCAACCTCTGATTATAGCACTTTACTCTATTTATGCAGCCAACACTTCTGGGAATGATCGAAAGTAAACAAAAATAAGATTTGACAAAATTAAATTTGAGACCTTGGATGAAAATCTGGGCATTTTAAAGACCTTTTTAGGCCTAGAATTTTGATTTTCAAATTTTAGACTTTTTTAGACCCTGCATGAACTCTGGACCCATCTTTTTTCTACTGACTTTTCTCCAGGCTTACCCCCACCTCTCCAGGCTCTCTTCCACCTGCTCCCTACTCTCACTACAGATCTGAATCTTGTCTGCTAACAGCATATTCCACAGGGCTTCCCATCTACTATCCAGCTGTCCTTATACATGTCCTGCACTATCATCTTTTACATACTCTCCACCCATCACATATTTTCTCTAGATCCACAAAGACATGGTGCAGAAAAGGCACAAATTAAATATATTTCAAATCCATTTTGTTTTATCTTAGTAGGCAAGAAATATTGTTGAAAGCCATTGTTCTTGATAGAGTTTTATTGRATTTATTAAACTTCTTAAGGTGTTTCAAATAAAGTCTTGAGGTACGTGACAAATTTATTATTCATCATGGCGTGTCCACAGACTGTTTTAAGCAGAGCTAGTAAGACAAAACACCTCTGTGTTGTTTTTTTACTATTATTCACATATTAAACCCCAGCAACAAGTGTTTTGATTGGTCCCTATGCTTATGACAAACCACATAACTGAGTTCTGATTTGTTGTTAACATTGAATGACCTCATTCCTACGTGTCTGAATAAAACGACTGTTCACGCCCCCAGAGGGCAGAATTTCTCTGATCTTCACCAGGCTCTTGAGCTGAAGTTAAGTATCACTGAACTTCTCCTCTTTGCAAAGTGAATCTATTAATCTTACTGGTCTCTGGTGTCATTGATTAATGTTCGGCCGGGCTTGTTGTGGTTTCTTTGAGTTCCTAGGTTAAAAAACCGAACAGTTCTTTTCTTTAAATGTCAGCTCAGTCTACAGCTGTCTATACAGTCTATAGCTGCTTGCTAATTTTAACAACTCATACCATATAAAAACACACCGACAAGCACCAGAAACAGTAGAAGTGTTCAGGTTGTATTACTTGCGGACTGGAATTACATGGTCCAGGTCAGTGATCTTCATGAAGGGTTTGTGAAAGTAGTGCAGCTGGAGAATACAGGCCAGCAGGAAGAAACCCGGGATCACAATACTGGTGAAGAGTTCAGACAGAGCAAACGTCTCCAGACCAATAGCTGCAAGCCTGAAGAGGAGGAACAGACAGTGTCATTGTTTCAACTTTAACCTGTCTATTTTAAAAGTCACACTGTAGACGACTCACAGGAGGGAGCACTGCTGATAAGAAACCAACATTTTGCATTGACTTTGTTTAAGAGATAAGATGAGGCAATAAAAAAACTTAAAGACTTTATTGGAGCACGTACTGTCCATCTGTAAAACCAGTTAGATTCTTCCAGTATCCAGGGAAGTCTTCAAACTGGTACGTGTAGATGGTGATGAGCACCAGCATGGTGTAGGCCACAACGAGCCACCAGAAGAGCTTCAACAGATGCCTCCAAAGAGAGTAGTACACCTGAGGAATAGATCAGCTTTACTTATTAGGAAATGGAGAGACTACTGTTGTAACATCTAACTTGAGCTATTTTGCAATTTTTGTGAAAAAAAAACATTCAAAATACATCATTTAAAGTTGTAATACATAATAATAAACAAAAAAGATAATATAAAAGGTGAAGCACAATGCCACTGTATGAAAATATTAACTACAGGATGAGTCAAAAGTCACAGGACATCTATTTGTTTAAAGAAGAAAAGGGTAAATTAAATGTAAATAAGATCTGCGTACCCCATCAGGTAAGGAGTGAGGGGTCCTATCTTTGGAAAATTTGCCTGTAATTCAATATGACAACTTTCAAGATGGCGGCCATGTTCTGGACATAACCATTATTTGCTGGTGTATTCAGATATTTTCCCTTTTCTTTCTAAAATAAAAGTGTCAGTGACTTTTGACTATATATTGTTTAATGTCCTTTATTATTTTTTAAGTCTCGTTTTTGTTATATTTGTTATATTTTGTCGAGTTCAGAGAAAATTTAACTGTAGGTGACCCAATTTTAAAGTTTATTTTATCTTGATGTTGTGAAACTCTCATTCCAAGAGTGAAATATTCTAAAAACTGTTGCAAGAGCTGCTTTTATTGTCCAATAAATGTGTTTACATGTGGGTGAAAGGTTATGAGGCATTTCTTGTGTGATACAAATATATTTCTAAATGCTGACAAGACATATTCACAGCTGACCCGGGTTGGATAAAGATCAATCCTCCTTCAGTGCAGATAATTCTGCCCGCTGTCTTCTCTTCACTGATTTATACCCAGATGTTATTATTTAACAAGAGAACCAGAATAAAAGGTTCCATTTCTTCCTACCTGATACAGACAGAGGCAGAGCAGGAAGAGCAACATGTAGATGATCTTGTACGCAACCAGTTTTCCAGCAAAGGAGACCATGATGAACATCCCTCCACACACGTAGATCCAGTATTTAGCGTAGCAGCTCATCACTTTTCTTCCCAGAACTTTCAGCACTGATTCACTTTCAGCCGCTTCTTCTGACAAAGAGGAGTTCAGGAGACAAAAGAGGTGTTAAATGGTAAAATGGGTACAAATCAGTCTTCATACAAATGGGGCTACGCTGTACATGCAAAGACATCCAATGATCACCGTGTACTTTTTACCTTATACACTGTATATATATTTTTCAGCAAAGTTATTGTTATTATTATGATATAAACATTATTTGTTGCTCTGTTGTTGTTTTCTCCATTTTTACAGGTGTGCAGACCGATGTCAAGTGTGTTGTCTTGTGTCTTCTGGGTTTATATTTAACATATCTTCTCTAATCTCTCTTTCAATCTTCCCCATTATATTTCTCCTTTTTTTCCCCTCTTTCTTTTTCCTCTTCTCTTGAAAAAAAGAATATGGGCAACCACACTAGCTGCTAGCTTAATCATAAAAAATAAAACAACTTTACTTAAAAAAAGTACATCCAATGATCACCGTATACATGTATTTGTTACCTTTTTAGGACCATTTCTGGTGTACACACATACCTTATCTAGACCAGTAGTCCTTTTGAAAGACATGTTGGTACACCATTTTTGAGTTGGATGTTAGGTTTAGGACTAAGGCGTTAATTGAGTTTGGGTTAGGTTTAGTTATGTACTGGAGTGTTTAAGCTTAGGGCAGGGCTATTGAACTGGCGGCCCGCGGGCCACATCCGGCCTGCCAATTGGTTTATTCGTCTCTTAAGCCCAAAACCCCTTTTTTCTACTTTAATTACTCTAAGTTATTTTAGCTAAACATAGACATGTTTGGTATCTACAGAAACGTCAGAATCTTGGCTAGAAGCTGGTAAAAACCATTTCTATAAACACTCAAGTCAGTTACAACTACAAGCAGTTGAAGATAAAATGATGAAAGTGAAAATATATTTTTTTTAAATTTGGCAAGTCAGAGATGTCAAAATATTATTTGTGTCTAATAATAGGAGGCATAATGTGTTCTTTTTGTTTTTGATAATGTGTAATTATCACTACTTTTATAGGGTTCTGTATGTTGTATTCATGATTAAATGCAGCAAAATAAACTAATTCAAAGGTAACAGATCTTTGTAATACTTAGTTTATTGACATAATAACTAATTGCTGGATGTACTGCCCTTCAGCTGTTGACCGGCTGTAACTGTGGCCCCCGGAGCAATTTAGTTGAATAGCCCTGGCTTAGGGTAAGGGGTTAAGGTTAGGCTATAGAAACAACTGCAAATGAATGGAAGTCAATGAACGGTCCTAATAAGGATAGAAATACAAACTTGTGTGTGTGTGTGTGTGTGTGTGTGTGTGTGTGTGTGTTTGTGTGTAATGACCTTTAGTTGAGACTTCCTGTAGTGGTGTGGCCAGTTTGCTCATCCTCTTGAAGTTTTCTTTCACTGATTGGCGTACCAACAACCAGAAGGTTAATGTGAACAAAAGCTGGTAAGAAAAAAATAAAAACAAATAAAAAGTTGTCACAAATTTTGTGTCTACAATGTTTTATATAAGAGATGAAGAGAAAAAACTGAGTTTAGATATAATGGATGTCCATGAGAGTTTGTGGTAAAATATCCCAGAATTCTAAAACTTAAACTGTTCATGTGAAAAAAATAAAACAAAATTAAAGATATCCAGTTGTGCTTTGAATGTTTTCATCATGAAGTATATCTAAAGTATAGATTTCCAGAAGCAGTTGGGCTTTCTTATTTGTTTCATCTAAATCTTTTTGTGTACATAGACATTTGTTTTCTCAGCATACCGCACGATGCATTATTTCGCAGAGGTTTATTGAAGGCTGCAGTGGGAGCAGAAAATCAAAAATCACGACAGAGACAAAAAGCGACAAGTAAACAAACAAAGGTTGAGGTTTGTGTCAAGTCTCTGGCACAGCTAAAAACTGAGCTCAGTTTTTACTGAAGGAACTTGTTGAAGTCGCTGTATGATTTACAAATGCACGTTACATTGTGAAGTTGATTCATATCTCTCAACATACTTTCACTGTAAAATTCATACCATCATAACTGAGCTATTGAACATTTCTTAGAAGAAAGGTTTAAATCTTACCATAGCTCCAAGTCTCAGGCAGGGGTACTGGGCTTTGTCCAGTCCCAGCTGTCTAAGACTCATAGTTCCCACCATGGTGGGCAGCTCGGGTTCTAGCTCCATGGCCCAGACATACTGCAGACAGCACAGGGCCAGGCCATACAGCAGGATAAAAGGAGAACACAGTGTGGCTGCATGCCGCCTGAACAAAAGAAAAGAACAAAACAAAAAGAGTGTGTTCAGACTACCTGTTGTCTCATCAATCCTGTCAGAACAATCTTTACTTCTACTGAACTGCTACAGCTACATGTTTTAATCATACCTGGAACGCAACATCCAGATGAGACAAGCCCACAGCAGCAGAACAAACGTCAGCCAGCTGTGATACATGATGCTCCAAACCTGAAAACATCAACAAACTGCAGATAAACAAGAACCGGCCTGTGTGGCAGAACATTATACATTCATAGTAACTGCCACAAAATAATTTATAATCTGAAACCAGTCGGTGCACACAACTGATTTTGTATTTTTTTCTGTAGAAAATGATAGTTACCATCATGGCTATGAGAGCGCAGACGTAACTCTGCTGCATGACCACCCTGCCCAGCAGGAAAAATGGGCTCTCGTTCAGCTGTCCAAAGTGGGCCTCATTAACACCTGCAGTAAAAGTAACACATTCAGCACCGACAACATTACAGCTGAAACTATAAAAGTCTGAGAGCTGGCAAGCTGCAGCGTTTTTTATGTGTTTTCTGACACCGGGGGGAGTTGTACCCCTGAATATCTCCAGAAAATTTAGACCATTCAGCTCAAGTAGTTTAGCTCTAATTTATTTTATTTACCATACAAACAACTGACAAATATGACTGACAACACAAGTCTGTCAGTCAAAAAACAATAAAATCACAAAGCATCAACTGGGATTTTAAGACTAACTGGAAAAAAAATCTACAAATATTTTAATCATTTTCTGTCTGCAGCTATTAAAGCAATGTCATGATCAAAAAACACAATCTTCCTATTTAGTTTAAATTTAAAAGGCATGTATATATATTTTTTCTTTTTTTTAATTGTCTGTTTTTGTGTAACTACTTGTGTTTGGAAATTTTGTCTTAAAACAGGTCTCTCTTGGAAATGAAATTCTGGATCTCAGTGAGACTACTTGTATAAATAAAGGTTAAATGAAAAACAAACAAACAAACAAATAAATAAATAAATATTTTATTTCATAGGAAGCTGGGCATGTTTCACTGAACGTAACTTTATATTTCTAAGTGGTCTTTAAGGTTGGAGCTGAACTTGCAATATAAGAAGATAAAAGGACCACGATATGGGTGATGGAACCTGTGGTAACCTTTACTATTAAAATAAAACTAAACAGTTTTGAAATACCAAACAAGCAATATTAAAATCAAGCATTGTGAATGCTTCAGGATCATGGATCAGGACTTTGAAGGCTTGTCTACTTTATTGAATATTGAGTTCTCAGATTTAGTCCAAGTTGGGAAAAGGAGGGATAATTGGGCCTCATGCAAGAACCGTTCGTACGCACAGATTTGTTCTTAAGTTGTGCGTACGAGTGATTTAGGAGAATTTGTGGCATTCACCAATGT